AGGGCTGAGGATGGCCCTGGCCAAGGTACCTGCTGACCTCACCTGTCTATTGGGTGAGAGTCCTCTCCTGCCCTGGTTGGAGCGAGCTGGCTGACATTCAGCTGCAGTGTGAGCCCAGGCCCTCCAGTCTCCCTGCAGGGGCTTGGGCCAGAGCACAGTGAGGGTCTGGTGATAGGGGAGGGGCCTGCCTGGAGGTTGCAGTGGTGTAGGCAAGAGACCAGCATGTGCAGAAGGAAAGCATGGAACATGGACCAAGTGGCAGGCAGTTTGCTGTGGAAGGACACATTCCAGATGGACAGGAGAGAGGTCTAGAAGAAGAGGCAGGCATGGGATCAAGTTACCCAGGGCTTTGAATGTAAGGCCAGAAGTTTAAATTTAGTCCCGTGGGCAGGATCAGCCAATGGAGGTTTCCAATAGAGCAGAGTGCTCAGAAAGCCCCTTCTAGCCACAACGTAAAGAGCAGATTAGAGGGCCTGAGACCAGAGGTAAGAATATTGTCAGCTTCTTTAGTCCTCTGGAACTGGGAAAGTGTCATTATCCTCATGTGAAAATGAGGAAACCGAAGGCTCAGAGAAGTAGGGTGGGTTGCCTAAAGCCACATGATAAGTCGCCGGCAGCACCAGGGATCACACCTGGCTCAGCCTGTTTGCAAAAGTGAGCGCTCTCACCCATTCTGCTAATAGGGCGCAGGCCAGCCAGTTAGCTGAGAGCACGTGTGTGTGTGTGTGTGTGTGTGTGACTGTGTGTGTACACATGTGCGTGCGCACGCCTAGCTGGCCTGTTGCCAGGTTTCCTGCCCTGAAACAGGGTGAGGGGTGCGGCTGTCCCCCAGCCTCAACCACACCCTCACCGGGGCTGACTGGTTCTAGCTGGTGTTGCTGGCGAGGGCTGCCCAGGCACTAGCTCGTAAACACAGACCCAATGCTGTGGGCGTTGTGCCAGGACTGCCAGCCCATCAGGCGATGTCCCAGCCCGGTGGCCACAGATGGGAGATTAGGTGGACCCTCAGCCGCCCAGCGGGTGGGAACAGTAGACAGCTGGTGCAGCAGCCGTGGACTGGCAGACTGCAGGGGACAGGGTGGGGTGGGAAGGTGACCTTGGTACCTGGGTTGCTGGGATCTTGCCAGTTTCTTTAGCTGCTCTAACCTCCAGAGGAGAGTCCCACCAGCCTCACTGACCCTGGGGTCAGCCTCTCCTAGGATTGGTACACATTGGTTAAGCAATTGGATGGGTAGCAAGGCATGGATCCCAAGACCTGGTTGGTGACTTCCCCGACAGATAGGAAGTGCAGGCTCCACTGGGGCAGGCCTTAGGATTTTTTTATATAGCCAGCTTGACTGGCCATAGGGAAGGAGGTGGCTGGGGACAGACCCCTAGAGGGACTGAAAGGTACCATGAAGCCATGGGAGGAGTTGGCAGCTGTCTCTGCCACTCAGGTCCTCTGATTCCTGTGATCCTCTGTGTTGAGGTCAACTCTTTCTTCTAGGCTTCTTACTCCATGACCTGTCCTAGATTTTTGTTTCCTGTGATCCCAGAGGTCCCTCTCAGGCCTTCCCCTGAGTTGGGCTTGTCCAGCATTGCTGGCCAGGGCATGCCTGGGCTCACGGACTCCTGGGTCTCATCTTGTCTCTCTTGGAGCAGCAGAGCCTGAGCCCAAGTTAGCTGGTGGTTGGTGGAAAGATCTCCACACTTTGGAGGTCAGACCTCAGTTTGAAAAGCTTTCCATGCCGTCCAGCCCTTGCTTGCAACCTGGAAGTATAGTCTTTAGCCTATGGAGCCAGTCTCTGAGCCCATGCCAGCAGATGGGACCAGGGAGGTCTGAGTGAAGGGTAGCCATTCCAGGGGAGCTCCCCATGGGGCCTGTAAAATCATCCACCTTCCTTGGCATGGAGAGGTGTCGGAAAGAAGCCTGGCTGCTTTTGTGAGTTAGCGTTGGGAGGGACCTGGAGCCTGGGCTTACCTCTTCTTTCCTCATGCCCAGCAGATCCAATTTGCTTGGGTAGGAAGTGCTTGTTCCCATCCGCAGCCCATGTGCCCACCATTGTACTGTGCCCAGCTGACGTCTGTGTAGGCAATAACCATCCCTCAGCAGGAACTGGCCTGACAATTTGGTTCCTGCTGTGATGCTGAGGGGCTGCCTGGAGGATGGGAGGAGGAGGTGTTCTATAAGGGAGGGTGCAGAGAGGGCCTGGGGCACTCAGTTCCCTCCATCCCTGTGGATTCTTAGGCGTGACCTTCCCTCACCAGCCCACAGACACCTGTTTTTTTGTTTGTTTTGAGATGGAGTGTCGCTGTGTCACCCAGGCTGGAGTGCAGTGGTGCAATCTCGGCTCAGTGCAACCTCTGCTTCCTGGGTTCAAGCAGTTCTCTGCTTAAGCCTCCCAAGTAGTTGGGATTACAGGTGACTGCCACCACGCCCAGCTAATTTTTTTGTATTTTTAGTAGAGACAGGGTTTAACCATCTTGGCCAGGCTGGTCTTGAACTGTTTACCTCATGATCCACTCACCTTAGTTTCCCAAAGTGCTGGGATTACAGATGTGAACCACCTCGCTCGGCCACACCTTGTTTTCTGAGGCTGAGGAAGGGGAGGTTTGGAAAGATTTGGGGAAAAGGAAGGCAGAGGCCGGGTGCGGTGGCTGAAGCCTGTAATCCCAGCACTTTGGGAGGCCGAGGCGGGTGGATCACGAGGTCAAGAGATCGAGACCATCCTGGTCAACATGGTGAAACCCCGTCTCTACTAAAAATACAAAAAAAATTAGCTGGGCATGGTCGTGCGTGCCTGTAATCCCAGCTACTCAGGAGGCTGAGGCAGGAGAATTGCCTGAACCCAGGAGGCGGAGGTTGCGGTGAGCCGAGATTGCGCCATTGCACTCCAGCGTGGGTAACATGAGTGAAACTCCGTCTCAAAAAAAAAAAAAAAAAAAAAAAGGAAGGCAGAGCAGCAGGGGGATGTCAGAGGACCCCTGCAAGCCTGGCCTTCTGTGAGATGCGGGGGTGAAGGAGACTGCAGCCTGAAGCAGACAGCCAGCTGGGCCCTTCCCTGGCACTCCTGGATGGGAGGCTGTAGGCAGCTGCCACTTGGCTGATTCACAGAAGTGTTTCATGGGCTTTTGCCATAAGGGCTGCCCTGGCTCCCCTGCCGTGGGTGTGTTTGTACCCACCTTGAGAAGGGCTGGGGAGGGGAGGAGGGAGCTCCAGAGCCTCCTTGCCTGTGTTGAGCAAGCTCCATGCTCTGCACAGGCCTACCTGGAGTCCTTCTACAAGTTCTGCACCCTACTGGGCGGGACTACAGCCGATGCCATGTGCCCCATCCTAGAGGTGAGTGCCTGCCTGCCCTCCTGCCTGCTGGTGCCCACTAGCCCTGGCCTGGGGGAGTCTCTGCCAGCTGACTAGCTACTGCCTCCTTCTTCCTCCCTTTCTCCTTGCCTGTGCACCGGCTCCACAGTTTGAAGCAGACCGCCGCGCCTTCATCATCACCATCAATTCTTTCGGCACAGAGCTGTCCAAAGAGGACCGTGCCAAGCTCTTTCCACACTGTGGGCGGCTCTATCCTGAGGGCCTGGCACAGCTGGCTCGAGCTGATGACTATGAACAGGTCAAAAACGTGGCCGATTACTACCCGGTGAGTGCCCTAGCTGGCAGGATGGTGGGTGGGTGTGTTGTCACTGAGCACCCCCACCCAGCACCCTCATGCTCGTGCTCCCCCCCACCCTCCTGGCCAGGAGTACAAGCTGCTCTTCGAGGGTGCAGGTAGCAACCCCGGAGACAAGACGCTGGAGGACCGATTCTTTGAGCATGAGGTGAGTCTTCGGGGCCTGCTTGTCAGAGGGAGGCCAACTTGGTGGTTTAGACCTCACTCTGTGGCCATGGCCACCTGGACACTACATCTGCCTGTGTCTACAGGTGAAGCTGAACAAGTTGGCCTTCCTGAACCAGTTCCACTTTGGTGTCTTCTATGCCTTTGTGAAGCTCAAGGAGCAGGAGTGTCGCAACATTGTGTGGATCGCTGAGTGCATCGCCCAACGCCACCGCGCCAAGATTGACAACTACATCCCTATCTTCTAGCATCCGGGCCCAAGGCTCTCAGTTGCACTCGTGCGTGTGTGTGTGTGTGTGTGTGTGGTCTGTGGCAAGCCTGTGGCTCACCTGCCTGCCCAGGGTGTAGCACACTGTCCTAGCAGCTGCCCAGTTCCCCTGACCCTCTTGGAGACTGTTTGTAGGCCTGAAAAGGGGCTGGGCACCCCCCACCAAGGATCGACCAAGACCCCCTCCAGAGCAAGGAAGCCCCCTCAGCCCTGTGTTTACAGCCGATGACATGTTTAAGAAGCATGTGGTCACTTTCATGTTCCTCCCTAGCCTGAGAACCCGGGGGGTAGTGCGAGCCTCCTCTCGCCTCTGTGGGTCACTTCCAGAGCCATGGCCCATGGGAAGGATAGTGTGCGTGTCCTTGGGGCCTGGAGGATGTTACTCCTCACTCCCTCCCTCAGCCCTGCCCCTCTGAGACAATAAAACTGCCCTCTCTAAGCCCAACTGTCTGCTGTCTCCTTTAGGCCCTAGTACTTCTCCATGACTCCTAACTTCCCTTGTGACCCCCACCTTGCTAAGTACCCCTGCCTAAGCCTCCACCCCCCTCCCTCAGTCGGCAGCCCAGATTCTTCAGGGTTGGGAAGTCCCAGGAAGATAGGTCCTTCCTCTGCTAGAGGCTCAGATGCATACAGGCCTGGGGAGCTTGGGTGATGGCCCTGGAGGGACCCCGGCCTCCCTGGTTGCTTCAAACAGTTAGGATCAGAGTCATTACCCCCATTTCACTGTGAGGAAACCCATGATTCTTAAATGATCTGCCTGAGGTCAGTGGAGGAGGGGGAGGTGTGAACCACAGTCTACCAGGGGAGTCCCAGCCCCCATGCTGAGCCCCAGGAGTTGCCACCCTGTCACACGGCCACACCGTATCACTCAGCCAGCCATCCAGTCACTCCCTCAAAACATAGCATCTGTCCCATTCTAGAAGAAATAAAAATTTGTCTTCATTTAAAATGTGGCAATTGGAAAGTAGAGTAAGTGCTTCCCTGTGGCTTAGGGGTGGGTAGTTGGGGCCCTAATTCTTGAGCCAGTCAAGAGACAGTTGGGATTTAGCCCTCAATTGCAGCATTGAGGCACTGGTGCTCAGAAACAATCCTGAGGGGGTCCCCAACCCACCCAGTCACTCCTTAGTTTGCAGACACGCTATCTGCAGAGTCCTGTGAAAGGCTGCAGTGAAGTCTTGCATGAGACTCCCATCCAGCAGAGTTCTCCAAGCTGCAGGGTAGAGCATTGTGCCAGGAGGGTCTGTTTGGGCAGTGGAGAAGTGCAGAGGCTCACTGGGAAACCTCGGCCTCACCGGGCCTGGATTGGGCATTGGCAGTGGGTGCCGGGTAGGGGTGGGATTTTTTAGGCGAGGGTCCGGGACAGACTTGGGGGATCATAATATACTCAGGGTTTGCAGGGAAGAGCCAAGGGCTCATGGAGCCTCCTGTGCTGCAGTGGCTAGGCCACATGTGCACACGGCTTACTGAGTCACTGCTGGGGAAGGACCTGGGCTCAGGTTTGGATCCCGGGCTGGGTCCTTCGGTGGGGTAGCACCAGGCTGGCCAGGCTGCAGTGCTTGAGGCAGGCAGTGACTGATGAAGAAGGTCTGCAGGAAGCGGCGTCGCAGGCCCTCAGGCAGGTAGTAGTGGATGAAGTACATGAGCCCCACGCCCTGGCCGGGGTAATAGCGGCGGCGGGGCTGAGCTGCCAGCAGCGCATCTATGATATCATCTACAACCGGACTGAGGTCGGGCAAGGCCAGGTGTAGGGAACGCAGAAACTGCGCGTTCAAGTGCTCAATGTAGTCCTTGCCGTAGGCCTGCAGCAGCTCTTGGGGCAGACTGGCCAGCAGCAATTGCTTGCGCCGCTCCCAGCGACCCACGTCTTTCACTGACTCTGGGGAAGGAGTGGCAAGGTCAGAGTGGGGTCAGCTAGGGGAGCCAAAGCCAGTTAGATCTATTTAACCCGAGCCAGGTCTCCAGCCAAAACCAAGTACCCAACCAAAGCCATGCCCCCTGCCCCGCCCCGTAAGACCATTTCCAGCTCTGTTCCCTATACCCATCCCACCCCCAGCCCTGATTCCTACCTGTCCTGAAGCAGCCAGGCTGGATGGTGCTGACCTTGACCCCCCAGGGAAGGAGTTCACAGCTGAATATGTCCATGAGCAGTGCCACGGCTGCCTTGGAGGTTCCATAGGCCCCCAAGCATGGATATGGCATGTCCCCTGTGTATGGATTGGGAGTGGGGCAGCTAAGCCTTGGCAAGGGGCTCCCTGAGCTCTCCCCCACCCCAGGGGGCTCCTTTTTGCTCCTGTGGGGAGGGCACTCACCCGCTGGGCTGCCCACAGTCACGATGCGGCCCCTTGAGCTGCGCAGCAGGGGCAGGAGGCCCTTGGTCAGCTCGAGTGTGCCAAAGAAATTCACCTCCATGCAGCTGCGGAAAGTGGCCACCGGAGACAGCTCCACATCGGCTACTACTTCATTGAGGCCTGCATTGTTGACCAGGCCCCACAGGCCTGGGGTCACAGAGCAGAGGAGGGAAGCCTCAGGTCAGCCCAAGAGCAAGCCTCCAGTCCCCCCAGCCCATGTCCTTTCCACCGCCCTGCCATGCCCTTTCCTGGTGGACACTTGCCACTGACCAGTGCTGGTGGTGTGAGCCTTGGTGAACTCTAGCACGTGGCTAATGTCTGCTGATTTGGTCAGGTCCAACTGCAGCAGCCTTAGGCGAGGGGAGCAGCAGGTACGCAGCTCGATGGCACCGGGGCTGTTCAACTCCATTACAGTGGCCAGCACCGTGAAGCCCATGGAGTCCAGTTTCTTGGCCGTCTCCTTGCCAAAACCAGAGTCACAGCCTGGCCAGGGCAAGCAGTCAGTGAACTCCACTGTGGCCCAGCCCAGCCTGAGACAACCCCAGAATCACCAGGGTCTGGATGGGATCCAGGCCCCTGCTTCTCACTATGTTGCCCTGCACACTGAAGCCACCAGCAATCAACAACCCTAACTCCCTCCCCAGGCCTATCTCTGACAGGCTTTGCCTCTCTAGCTGAACCCTGGGCACCAACTCTATGACAGCTGTCATCTGCCTGACTCCCCATGGCTACCCCATCAACATGGCTTACAGAAGAGGAAACTGAGGCCTAGTAATGCTAAGTTGCTTCCCAAATTCATGCAGGTCAAGTCAGGGACAGTCCCAGGCCCCAATATGGTTCTGCTTGCTTGATTTTAGGCCACAGCTCACAGGCACACTATTAGCACAGAGCACAGAGCCTGCCTTCCTTTCTCTCTCTCTCTCTCTTTTTTTTTTTTTTTTGAGACAGGGTCTTGCTCTGTTGCCCAGGCTGGAGTGCAGTGGCGTGATCTTGGCTCCTCCCAGGCCCAAGTAGTCCTCCCTCCCTTCCCTCCCTTCATCTCCTGAGTAGCTGGGACTACAGGCATGTGTCATCACGCTTGGCTGGTTCTTAAATTTTTTTTTTTTTGCAGAGATGGAGTCTCGCTGTGTTGCCCAAGCTGGTTTTGAACTCCTAGGCTTAAGCGATCCTCCCACCTTGGCGTCTTAAAAGTGCTGGGATTGCAAGTGTGAGCCACCATATCCAGCTTCTCTTCCTTTCTGACTGCCAGGCCTCTCTTCCCTTCATCTGGACTCTGAAGCAGCCCCTTCTCTAGTCCTGTCCCTTCCTGCCCTCTTGAAGCCCTTCTCTACCTAAACAGCCAGAGGGATCATTCCAAAAATGCCAATATCCCTCTTTGGTGCAAACCTTTCCAAGGCTGCCCACAGTCCTCAGAATGGAGCCCAAGCTCCCTGACTCAGGCCCCATACAACCTGAGCCCCACCTCCCTTCCCAGCCTCAACACCCTCTACTATTTTTTCAGGCTGGAGGCAAGCTGGAGGCCCATCCCCACTTCACCCAGACCCTTGGAATTCCAATCAGTGGCAACAGGGGTGTTTTCTAAGCCCCAGACTACTTGCCTCCAGAACAGGGACCATGATGGATGGAGAAGAGAACAGACCTACATTTGAATCCTTTCCCACACCCACCAAGTGTGACCGAGGTCAGTTATCACTCTTGGAGGTTTAATTTCTGTCTTTGGTATGTGAGAGAAGAACCACCAGGCAGCGCCAGTGTAGGGGTCTGTAGTACTGATAAGCCCCTGCCTCCTTGATTGTTCCCATGCTGATCCTGGCTCCATGGGCAGCCAGTGAGGGAAGGGGAAAGGCTAGTGAGGTGGGTGGCTTTCTGCCCTGCCCCCCCTGCTCCCACCCCTGGCCCTCAACCCTACCCCCTTCTGAAATAGAAGCTGCAAAGCAACTCTTCTTCCTAATTCCTGGACCCCTCATTACTGTCTCCCCATCTCAGCTCCGTTCCCTCTGCTGAGAACAGCACTGGGCAGGGGGCTTTGAGCAGGGCTGTGTGCGGCTCCCGCCCATGCTGACGACAATGGATCCTTCTCAGGCAAGTCGGCCTTGGAGAGGTAGGAAAGCTGTGTGTGTGTATGTGTGTGTGTGTGTGTGTGTGTGTACACACACGCATGCATGCATGCACTTGCATGCGGGTTCCTTTCAGAGCAGACAGGCCCTCCCAATGGAAATGGACCTCCCAGTTCTGAGCAGAGCTGACCACAGGCCTCCGCTCTGTGGTCCCAACACAGTCACCCACATCTTGCACACCCTCTTGTTTACATCCACACACTCAGATACCTGTAGGTACTTCCAGCCTGGCTGGCTGATCTCACAATGGGCTCAACTCCTACCACCCATTGGCGCACACATGTGCACCTGCGTGCACACAGGCACCTGATCCTCAGCCCAAACTGACCCCACGGCTGAGATCCAGCAGTAGCCTTGGCAAGTGGTTCTCAGAGCATTCTTAGGAGGGGCAGAGGGAGTAGCAGCTCCGGCGGGCCCACGACACAGTGTTCTTGGCAGGTGGGGCCGAGCCTGGTCACCTACTTGTCTTGCAGCCGGGTGTTGAGAGACAGCCCCCAAGTGTTCAGGCCCTGGGAAGCTTGGAGACCTCCTGATGCTTGTACAGGGCAGGTTGGTGGTCCTCTCTCCCCCAACCCCAGCTTTGCAACCAGAGATTGGGGGAGCCCAAGTCAGAGAAAGCATCCCTTCTCTCACCTCTTTCTCAGGCTCAAGGCCAGAAGCAACAGCAGCAGCACAAAGGCCTGAGGTGAGATCTCAGGAAAGACCGCCTGGGTAGGCCTCTAGTACCTGCAGATGGCCTGGGACCTGTTGAAGTGGCTCACAGATTAAGAAAGCAGGAGGGGATCTGCCCTGTCCCCAGAGGCCGAGCCCACATCCTGGCCCCTGCTTCATACCAGTGGTGTCTGTTGGCTTTCCTTCCTCAAACCCCAGAAACTGGGATCCCCTGAGGCTTCAAACTGCTCCTGGAACCTGGGTCTCTCCTGTCCAGCCCAAACACTGCCCCATCTCTACCATCTTTGCTGGAGTGCACGGCCCTTGCGCTTCCTTCCCCCCTACTCTGCCTCAGCAGTCTGGCTTCTTACCTGATTCGTGGCCCCTCCCAAGGAAACAACCTCATGTCCCCCCCTCCCCGCCCCCACAGCTAGACTGGCTGTCCCCTAAAGAGGCCATGTGTACTCCTGCCTTAAGCCTTTGTCCCACATCCTTTCTCTGATCCGAGATACCTTTCATGCTCCACTTATCTCCACTCATCCTCCGAGGCCCCACTCAAGGATTTCCTCCTCCGGAAAGTTCTCCCTGCCCCATCTGATCACACAGGGCCCCTACTAGACTGAGGTCTCTGAGAAGCCAGCTTGCTGGCTGCCCCAGCCAAGGCCCAGTGCAAGGACAGCCCAGAGCACCTGTCCAAAGCCATGGGTGTTGGGGGAGAGACCAGGCTGCCCCTCCCCCCATGCAATGGAGTCAGTGCCCCCTGGCCTTTCTCCCCCTCCCCACTTCCGGCCGGGCCTCCAGCCCCCCTTCCCCTTCCCTCCTGCTGGTGACAGATTTATTCCCTGCTCCAGACAAAGGAGCTCAGCCAGGCAGCCAGAGGCACCTGAGCCCAGCTTTCCAAGAGCTCCTTCCTGGGCACTGAGGACCAGGAGGGCTTGGGGTGGGGTGCCAGGTGCACGCTGCAAACTGCTGCCTCAGCAGTTTGGCAGTGGGTGGCTAGACAGATCGCCGAATGTCCAGTTGCCCCTCATGGTGACCTCAAGCTTTTCTCAACTCCAAGGATCCCAGCCAGTGGGGGATGGGTGGGGTAGGGAAGGTCCCCATCTAAGCTCTGCCCTCTGGCCCCAGGGAATGGGAGATAGGGTGTCTCAGGTGGGGGCGTCAGGCAGAGTTCAAGGGGTAACGATCCTCCCTTCTCAAGGCCTCCGAAGACTGCTCTCTTGGAAAAGGGCATGGCATAAACTCGCAAACTCCAGGAGGCTCCCTTTTCTCAGCCACCAGTCAATTACCTTCTCTAATCTGCCCGCTCCCTGCTTCACCTTCCCTCCAACACTCCCCGTAGAAGCAGGTAGTGAACCCGGGCTTGGGGAGGTGCCCGGCGCTCCCTACTTGGCTCACTCCCTGCACCCAGGGGAGGAGAACTCTCCCAATCTTGCGCTGGGGAACCCGCCTTGGCCATGCCCATGCAGAGTCAGTCCTGTAGTGTAGTCCCGCCCTCGAGCCTGGAGTCCCCGCGCTCCGCGCCCCGCGCACTCACCGGTGATGAGCACCGCGCGAGTGGCCACCGGCAGGCGCTGCGGGCGCGCCAGGCGGGACAACGCGATCCAGCCGGCAGTGGCCAGCACGGCGAGTGTGGCCAGCGGGGGCAGCAGGCGCTGGCACAGCCAGTCGAGCGCGGCCAGCAGCGCCAGCGCCGCCAGCAGCGGGCGGCCCAGACGCAGGTCTGAGCGCAGCAGCTGCAGCAGCGCGCGGGCAGCCACCAGCAGCCAGGCGCCGCCCGACGGCCAAAGCCAGCGCTCCATGGTGGCCCTGTGGGCTGGGGCAGGGCGGGGCGGGGAGGGCCGGACCGGGGAGCTGAGAGAGAGCGAGTCGGGGCCGGGACGCCGAGTGCGGGGAAACACCGGCCTGGGGCGCCGGAGGGTCACTGGCTTTCTCCGCTAGCCCTCGGGCCGAGCTTATAAAGAGCCCTGGGGGCGGGGGAGAGGGCGGGGCGCGGGCGGGGAGGGGGTGGGGCTTTCCTCCACTTCTCTCCCAGCACCCTCCGCAGGGCAGGTGCCCCCCCCTCCCCTCCCCCTCGATCAGATTCGATTTGGAAGAAGCCAGAACGAAGTCCCAAAGTTGCTGCGCTCGAGGAGCCGCCTGGCTGCGAGACTTGCAGGGAGAGGGCCAGTTAGTCCAGCCCGGGTGCCCGGCCTCCGCTCCCCTCCGCGCCCCCACCCAAGCGCCGGGGGCCGCCGAGCCGCAGCGCTCAGGTGAGCACATGCTGCTCACACTTGCTCGGCACACCTGAGGACACGCACAACTGGCATCCCGGTGCCATTTCCTGATCGCACCGCCGCGGCCGCCAAGCCTGCAGGAACACTGCCGGGAACCAGCCGGTTCTCACCCGGTCCCCTCTGCCGCTGCTGCCCGCGTTCACACACGCGCCGCTCTCCCACGTGGTGCGCGGCGCTAGGTCCCTGGTGCACACACCCTAAGGCGCGCTCACCCCAGAGCAGCTCGCGGCCACAAAACCGCGAGCAGGGGCTGGCGGGGAAGCAGGACGACCGCTCCCAGTTCTTGGAGTCTGTGTCCCGTCTTTCCCTTTCCTTCCAGGGCTTACCTCTGAAGACTGACAACCCGACATCCTGCCTCACAAATGTATGTGTGTGGGGGTCCGTGGGGGGTAGGGTGTCAGAGAAAGCACCTAGGTCTCCCATTACCTATGCCCCACCCCTGCTAGCCTCAAGAGCCAGGCCAGTGGGGCATCATGAAGGCAGCCTCTAGGACAGGGTGGTCTCTGCCTTACACACCTGCACCCCCGGGGGTAAAATAAGTGATATGAGTGTGGGTGGATTTTTCTGCCTGCCTGTGTGAAGGTCTCCATGCTTGTGTGTGGCCCAGTGGCCCCCCACCCTGCCCACCCCCGTGTCTGGCACTTTGTGCCTAGCATCCATGCCAGGGCTCTGCCAGGCACTGGGAGTTGGTGCCAGTACCTGGCGGCAGGCGTGATTCTGAGAGGAGTAGATGTGCCCATCACAGAGGGGTCCCTGCTTCCCATGGGCCTCCAGGCCTTGCTCAGTGCTTCATCCCTGCCCTCTCAAGGTCCTGGGAGGTTGTGAACTCTTTGTCACACCTCCTAGCCCTGTTGCTCATTCTCTCTTAGGTGCCCAGGTTCTGCCAGGGTTTCAGGGCAATGCCTCCTCCAAAGCTCTCTCTGCCACCAGACTCAGCCCCCTGGTGGGCCAGGGAAATATGGGGGATGTGGGGGGCTGGGAGCCAGACCCACCTAAAGGGAGAGGCTCTGGGTGGAGGACCCCTTTTGCCCAGATCCACCCACTCCTGTGCCTTCACCTATCCGTCCTCCTAAGGACAGATGACAGGCGAGCCCTGGCTCTGGGAGGCAGGACTTGAATGAGAAGGGTGTGTGTTTGCCTGACCTTGGGTACACGACCTTGCGTGCCTGTGTTTGTAAACACTTGTGTCCATGGGACTCCATGGCTTGTCCAAGCCATTTGGTTGTGTCACTACCTATGCCATGACCCTGTGTGTGCAAGTGAGTACATTTGTGTGCGTTGTGTGTGTTTCTGGTAATTCTCTGTCCTTCGGTCTGGGTCATCCTGACTCTAGAAACTCAGGGAAACATCCTCTTCCAAAGTCACTGATTCCTGTTGCCGTGGATGTATGGCCCAGGCTCGGAGGCAGACACAACGTCCCTGGCCTGACTTCCTGATTTGAACTGTAGAGCTTGGATTGGCCGGACCCCCCAGCTTTAGCCGCCCCACCAAGAGCCTGGCTGTGGTTTCTCCAGCCTCAGTCCATTAAAGTCTTCCTGTTGGAAGTGGGGGAAGGGAATAGAAGCTGAGATGAGAGTCCTGGGGAGCTTTCAAGGTCAAGGTGACACAGAACCAGCACTTGCTAGAGCAGGTGTTGAAGAGTAGGGGGATGGGGCAGGAAGGCAAGATAAGGACAGAGACAGAAGCAGGGTCCTACGCTGTCCTGGGAGGGAACCGTGAAGGCCACCATGGGGAGGGAGACTTGCCAGGAGGCGATGTTGGGATTTGCATTTGGCTGAAGAGTATAGGGTGGTTAGGATGAGGAAGGGGCTGTTTCCAGCTCAGTTTCTGGAACGTCATGCCACTTCAGGCAGAGCCATTTAGTCTTATGGGATTTGGGTCTTGGTGGGACTGGACCATCTGCCACATTTTTATATAAACTACCCCCCACCCATTCATCCCACATCCTAGCCCAGGCCTCCTCCTTCCCAGGACCTATGCTGTAGCTCCTGTGGCCTCCTCAGCCGCCGACCCCTTATGCCTTATTAGGCGGAGATGTTCTAGAAGTACAAGGTGGTTAGGTCAGTCATGGCTGGGAGGAGCTACCCCAGCCCTGTCTGAGGCCTGGTGCCAGGTTGTGCCTGCCTAGGGGCAGAAAACCAGCCTCTGCCAGAACCAGGAGTCTAGGCTGTCAGGGGCCTCCAGGGAAGAGAAGGGGAGAGGGGAAATGGGCAGGAGATAAAGCCTGGCAGGGCAGAGAAATGAAGGGTGACCAGGAGCAGAGCCCCTGAGACACTCGCTCCTAAGCCCTCAGCCCACAGCCTCCCTTAGTCCTTTGTCCCAGCCTCCAGCCCTCCTTGGTCAGAAACCTGGTTAACCAAACCCTTAGCGCTCCCCAGGCTCTGGAGGACAGAGGGGTGGGTGAGAGCATGGCAGGCTGGCTCTGGTCTCTTCCAGCGCAGCCCAGCATCTCACTAGCACCCTCTGCTGGCCTTGTAGGGAGAGCACGGCTCTGAAGGAGATAAAGGGCCAGTAACTGACTGGCTGCTGGATTGAGGAGCGGGGAACACATGTCTAAAGTAGGGGATACCAAGTGGCAGACTCCAAGAGCCCTCACACTCTGTCCTTTGACTGTATTTGGGTTCCTGGAACAGGGCAGTCAGCATTCACTTGTTACCTCTTCCTCCCTCTGTAGCTCAGAGGCTGTAGTGTCCCAAGGAGCCCCCACCCTGCACTCTGCTTCACGCCTTCACCTCCACCACGCCTCCTCTTGGCACAGTGGCAGAAGGTCCCTCTTCCTGCCAGCAGCCAGGGTCCTGGACCCCATTGCTCCCTGGCCTGAAAGACAGCAAACTTGTATTGAGTTCCCACTGTGTGCTGGGCCCTGTGCTGGGCACCATAGATGTAGCAACTGACGACTGTCCCCAGCAGAGCAGTGTACTGGGCGCTGGCCTCACCCACTGGGAACCTCAAGCCCCTATCCCTTTCCACAACATTTCTCTTATGGCCGGGCGTGGTGGTTCATGCCTGTAATCTCAGCACTTTGGGAAACTGAGGCAGGTGGATCACCTAAGGTCAAGAGTTCAAGACCAGCCTGGCCAACATGGTGAAATCCCACCTCTACTAAAAATCCGAAAATTAGCCAGATGTGGTGACACATGCCTGTAGTCCCAGCTCGTGAGTCTTGTGAGACTGAAGCAGGAGAATCTCTTGAACCCAAGAGGCAAAGATTGCAGTGAGCCGAGGTCACTCCGCTGCTCTCCAGCCTGGGTGACAGCAAGGCTCTGTTTTTTTTTTTTTAAAAAAAAGCATCTCTTTTGTGTTTTCTCCTACTGTTCTCAGCTGCGTTTCTCTAAAGTTGTCTATAATCGCCATCACCATGCTCCCCTCCCCGCCTTTGCTCTGGACCAGCTCCCCCTCCTAACCTAGTCCCCAAATCCCATAGACCCATCTCTGGCTTCAGCTAATTTGGCCTCTTCAAAGCCTCGGCCCTGCTGGCCTCTCTTTCCTTTCCCAAGCCCTGTCTCCCTTGGGTGCCTGTGAAGCCACGGCTGCCGGGTTTCCTCCTACCTCACTGCCTCTCCAGCTTGTCTTCCTTGTGGGTGAAGCTCTGGCTTTGGAAGCCTCACCCCGGCCCTCCCCACACCATGAGCTCATCTTTCTACTCACATGCTGGTGACCTCCCTGCTTGCTTTCTGGCCAAGCTCTCCCTTTTGACCACAGGCCCACATGTCCAGCTGCCCCTGGACACTTTCCCTTGGACACACGTAGGCCCCTCACCTCAGCACGTTCAAGGCTGGTCCTGGCAGCCCTCATGCCCCACTGCATCCTCAGACTTCAAGCCATGCACTGGCCTCCAAATCTCTTGCTGTGTCCCAAGCCCTGGGTTGGGTGCAGATACCTCATCATAGCCTTTATAGTAGGTGTCATCACCATTTTCACATTCAAGGAAGTTGAGGCTTCCAGAGGTGAAGGAAATTGTGCAAGTTCTCAAGCTCAAGTCCACTTGCGTTGGAGTCTTGGACCAGCCCCAAGATTCAAACTCAGGTGTACCTGAACCCAAACTCCGGGCTCTTGAGCACTGTGTTAATACGGGGCTGTGTTTGTCACCTGTGGATCTTAGAGTTCATCCTGAGGGCAAAGGAGAGCTTGGAATGGTTTTGAACAAATGAGACCCCCATCCCAGGTGGCCAGGAAATGGATCTGGGGAAGAGTGGAGGCTGACTATATTAATATTATTACTTAAAAAAAATTTTTTTTTTGAGATGGAGTTTTGTTCTTGTTGCCCAGGCTGGAGTGCAATGGTGCCATCTCAGCTACCTGCAACGTCCGCCTCCCAGGTTCAAGCGATTCTCCTGCCTCAGCTTCCTGAGTAGCTAGGATTATAGGCATGTGCCACCATGCCTGGCTAATTTTTGTATTTTTAGTAGAGACAAGGTTTTTCCATGTTGGTCCAGTGGGTCTTGAACTGCAGACCTCAGGTGATCGCCCGCCTCGGCCTCCCAAAGTGAGCTACAGCGCCTGGCCTTAAGTTTTATTATGATTATTACTTTATTATTTTGTTATTATTACTTTTAGTTAGAGATGGAGTCTTGCCCTGTCACCCAGGCTGGAGTACAGTGGCACAGTCATAGCTCACTGCAGCCTTGAATTCCTGGGCTTGAGCGATCCTGCC